TTACTGCTTCAGTCTGGGAGCTGGTGCTGTGTCGTGGAGGTCTACACGGTCGTCGTCTGTGGCTACTTCCAGTGCAGAGGCAGAGATCTACGCTGGTGCCATGGCGGCACAGGAGCTTCGCTGGTTGACCTTCTTGCTCGCCGACCTTGGTGAGCGGCCTCGCTCTGCACCGACCTTGTACGCTGACAACAAGGCCATGATCCTCCTGTGTCGAGAGCCTCGACTGGAGAGCAGAGTGAAGCATATTGACGTGAGGTACTTCCTCCTGCGAGAGTTGCAGCGACGCGGTCAGGCACGTTTGGACTTTGTGGCCTCACAGGCCAACACTGCCGACGTCTTCACCAAGGCCTTGGCGCCTGGTGACCACCACAGGTTCTGTGTGCAGTTGGGGCTTGTTGAGGTAGGCCCTCGGTTGCTGTAGACTTGCTGTTTGCTCTACTTGTTGTGCTTCTATATATACTAGTAAACTCTTGAACTGGCCTTGTGGCCACTTGCTTGTGCTCGGAGTGTGTGGTGACTCTGAGCGCCACCCTGAGCTTTGTTTTTTATGCTTGTTCTTGACTGGTCTTGTGACCCCTTGTTTCCGTTGGTTGTTTTGATGCCCCTCACTTAGCCTATGGGGGTGTGTCAAATGTTTATATATTCTATATATTGTTAGATAGGCTACTGTGAGTTGCCCTCTAAAGGGTACAACACTTTAGGTCGACATTTGTATCTCCTTGTCCCTCCTTACTCAAACATTACTCTCGACACTTGTCTCCTAGCCTATCTTAAGAATTATGTCTGAAACTCCTTGGTCAATGCCTAGCGCAATGCAACCCCACACAATGGCAGCATGACTCTGCTGTGTCGACGAGCACCCCGGATTCTATTCTCCCTGACCCTTAATATTCTTCACCTGCCCGCCTGGGCGTACTTCTATCTACCGTTCCTTATTCAGGCGGATTGAGGAAAATACCAAATTAGAGGAATTGGAGGACTAGGGAGAAGAGAGGGGCACCTGTAGAGGTCATTAGTGGGAGTGTGTTCTTCGGAGAGCAGCAGGTGCGGGTCCACGTACCCAGGCACGCCCACCACCGAGAACTCGCCACCCGCTGCTGCTGCCCTGCGCGTCACAGAGTCAAACCCTGCGATCTTTGCCTGGCGTGGCGTTGTGTTTGAAGATGTGGTGCAGTGACGTGCGGCGAGGGGTGCCCACACGTCGTGTGGCCAGACAGGAGGAGGGTGGCAGGGGAGGAGGGAACGCTTTCCACAGCATCAATATAACGGGCCAGGGTAACCCAATCCTATATGGATGTTGCTCCACACTACATGGCAGGGACACGAGTCTGCTCTGCTGCGTGTTTGCGAGTCGTGTCGTGTCGTGTGGGGGATGGTGCCCGCACAGCAAGTACACTCACTCACCTGCATGCTGCCATCCAGAAAAATGCTTCGAAGGCAAAGGCAGCGATGCACGATGCCAAAGCTGTGCAGATACTCCAGCCCGCGCGCCACTCCTATCAGAATGCCCAGCCGCTGCTGCAGGGTCAACGGCACGCCGGTGCAACCTGCGAGGAGAAGAGAAGAGAAGAGAAAGAATACGCTGTGAAGTAGATTGAAATCATGGGCCAATGAAACGGAATAAAACTCGTGCGATGGATGGATGGATGCTAGGCAAGCAGATGTAGCAGAGCCAAACGCACAGAAGGGCGCTGCGCGAGTACACGAGGTGAGGACAAGGGCGAGGACGAACAGGCAAGCACCCATGGGCCACTTGTTTGGAGTTGGCATGGGTACTGCACTTGTTTGGAGTTGGCATGGGTACTGCACTTGTTTGGAGTTGGCATGGGTACTGCACTTGTTTGGAGTTGGCATGGGTACTGCACTTGTTTGGAGTTGGCATGGGTACTGCACTTGTTTGGAGTTGGCATGGGTACTGCACTTGTTTGGAGTTGGCATGGGTACTGCACTTGTTTGGAGTTGGCATGGGTACTGCACTTGTTTGGAGTTGGCATGGGTACTGCACTTGTTTGGAGCTGGCATGGGTACTGCACTTGTTTGGAGCTGGCATGGGTACTGCACTTGTTTGGAGCTGGCATGGGTACTGCACTTGTTTGGAGCTGGCATGGGTACTGCACTTGTTTGGAGCTGGCATGGGTACTGCACTTGTTTGGAATTGGCATGGGTACTGCACTTGTTTGGAGCTGGCATGGGTACTGCACTTGTTTGGAGCTGGCATGGGTACTGCACTTGTTTGGAGCTGGCATGGGTACTGCACTTGTTTGGAGCTGGCATGGGTACTGCACTTGTTTGGAGCTGGCATGGGTACTGCACTTGTTTGGAGCTGGCATGGGTACTGCACTTGTTTGGAGCTGGCATGGGTACTGCACTTGTTTGGAGCTGGCATGGGTACTGCACTTGTTTGGAGCTGGCATGGGTACTGCACTTGTTTGGAGCTGGCATGGGTACTGCACTTGTTTGGAGCTGGCATGGGTACTGCACTTGTTTGGAGCTGGCATGGGTACTGCACTTGTTTGGAGCTGGCATGGGTACTGCACTTGTTTGGAGCTGGCATGGGTACTGCACTTGTTTGGAGTTGGCATGGGTACTGCACTTGTTTGGAGTTGGCATGGGTACTGCACTTGTTTGGAGTTGGCATGGGTACTGCACTTGTTTGGAGCTGGCATGGGTACTGCACTTGTTTGGAGCTGGCATGGGTACTGCACTTGTTTGGAGCTGGCATGGGTACTGCACTTGTTTGGAGCTGGCATGGGTACTGCACTTGTTTGGAGCTGGCATGGGTACTGCACTTGTTTGGAATTGGCATGGGTACTGCACTTGTTTGGAGCTGGCATGGGTACTGCACTTGTTTGGAGCTGGCATGGGTACTGCACTTGTTTGGAGCTGGCATGGGTACTGCACTTGTTTGGAGCTGGCATGGGTACTGCACTTGTTTGGAGCTGGCATGGGTACTGCACTTGTTTGGAGCTGGCATGGGTACTGCACTTGTTTGGAGCTGGCATGGGTACTGCACTTGTTTGGAGCTGGCATGGGTACTGCACTTGTTTGGAGCTGGCATGGGTACTGCACTTGTTTGGAGCTGGCATGGGTACTGCACTTGTTTGGAGCTGGCATGGGTACTGCACTTGTTTGGAGCTGGCATGGGTACTGCACTTGTTTGGAGCTGGCATGGGTACTGCACTTGTTTGGAGCTGGCATGGGTACTGCACTTGTTTGGAGCTGGCATGGGTACTGCACTTGTTTGGAGCTGGCATGGGTACTGCACTTGTTTGGAGCTGGCATGGGTACTGCACTTGTTTGGAGCTGGCATGGGTACTGCACTTGTTTGGAGCTGGCATGGGTACTGCACTTGTTTGGAGCTGGCATGGGTACTGCACTTGTTTGGAGCTGGCATGGGTACTGCACTTGTTTGGAGCTGGCATGGGTACTGCACTTGTTTGGAGCTGGCATGGGTACTGCACTTGTTTGGAGCTGGCATGGGTACTGCACTTGTTTGGAGCTGGCATGGGTACTGCACTTGTTTGGAGCTGGCATGGGTACTGCACTTGTTTGGAGCTGGCATGGGTACTGCACTTGTTTGGAGTTGGCATGGGTACTGCACTTGTTTGGAGCTGGCATGGGTACTGCACTTGTTTGGAGTTGGCATGGGTACTGCACTTGTTTGGAGCTGGCATGGGTACTGCACTTGTTTGGAGTTGGCATGGGTACTGCACTTGTTTGGAGCTGGCATGGGTACTGCACTTGTTTGGAGCTGGCATGGGTACTGCACTTGTTTGGAGCTGGCATGGGTACTGCACTTGTTTGGAGTTGGCATGGGTACTGCACTTGTTTGGAGCTGGCATGGGTACTGCACTTGTTTGGAGTTGGCATGGGTACTGCACTTGTTTGGAGTTGGCATGGGTACTGCACTTGTTTGGAGTTGGCATGGGTACTGCACTTGTTTGGAGTTGGCATGGGTACTGCACTTGTTTGGAGTTGGCATGGGTACTGCACTTGTTTGGAGTTGGCATGGGTACTGCGCTTGCGGCCAGGCGACACGGGGTCAGAAAGACCTCTCTTAGCAGAGATGCGCCTCATTTCTCCATTCCATGTTCATCCTACGGATTTTTTTACCTCGATCTATCGATGAGTATGACTAGACTGTGGGCACCAACTTGGCGCTTTGCACCTTGCCTATTCCCGCTTCTTAACCTAACGAACTGCCACATTCTCCCTTCTAAACCGAACGAACTGCCCGGGAAATTTGTTTATCTGCCCGAGCCTGCGTATACTGTGCGTACTGGACCCTTCCACGCAGCGTAAGGCGTTTATACGCTAGCGAATATAAGCTTGCATATAAAACGCGGAACTCGTATATTCCAACATAGCCTAGCAGAGACAAAGGCACAGAGTACATGAGGAAGCGGGCTCTACACATGGGTGCAGTACCCATGGCAAGTACATGCCGTCACGAGGACAAGGGCGAGGAAGAACAGGCACGCATCTACATGCTTGGAGTTGACCGACATGGGTGCCACACTTGCGGTAACATGGGCTCAGTAAAAAGAGAGAGAGAACAAAAAGTTGTGTGGTATGGCACAGCATGCCTCACCATGTGGTCCAAACTTGTCGAGAAGTCTGCCAGCTGTCATGAACTCATAGACCACGACCTGCTCCCACCGCCCCTGCCTGTCGCGCTCATCGCAGTACCCCAGCAGGCGCACCAGGTTGGGGTGGTTCTTGTTGCCCATCTCCGCCACCTGGGGGACGGGCCGACGGCAAGGCAGGGGAAGGGGAGCGGGTGAGGCAAGGCAGGGGGTGGGGAGCGGGTGGGAGGGGAGGGAGAGGGTAAGACGAGCAGTGCTCTTCTTTCCTCTGGCAGCGGCACCGGTTCTTTCCTCCTTCGCCTTCATTGGCTCCACAGCAACTCACTTGTATGCTGCTATGAGGAGAGGGATAGAGCGCGGCAGGTGTACCAGCAGCCGTCCACAGGCTGGGGTGGTATTGTGGCAGTATGGCGAATGAGACGGACGGACTGCCCCTGGGGGACGAGACGACAATGCAGAGCTGCTTTCCATGCAAGAGGTGTAAGCGTGTGGGGTCTGATAGTTCATCTTCCAAGCAGCCCCGTTGAAGAGGCTGCAGATCGCAGCCCCGCCTCACTTTCCTCCCTCTCCTCCCTTCACCTCTGCCTCTTGCACCTCTGCCTCTTGCACCTCCCCCCTCTCCTCCCCATCACCCCTCCTCTCTCTGCTCTCCAACACCACACTCTTCCGTCCCCTTCACCCGCACTATCACTCTCACCTCCCCCTCGCTTCCCCCCTCACCTTCCCCGCACTTCCCCCCTCACCTCCCCCTCGCTTCCCCCCTCACCTCCCCCGCACTTCCCCCCTCACCTCCCCCTCGCTTCCCCCCTCACCTCCCCCGCGCTTCCAACCCCACCTACCCCGCGCTTCCCCCCTCACCTCCCCCGCGCTTCCCCCCTCACCTCCCCCGCTCTTCCCCCCCCCACCTCCCCCGCGCTTCCCCCCCCACCTCCCCCGCGCTTCCCCCCCCCCACCTCCCCCGCGCTTCCCCCCCACCTCCCCCGCGCTTCCCCCCCTCACCTCCCCCGCGCTTCCCCCCCCACCTCCCCCGCGCTTCCCCCCCCCACCTCCCCCGCGCTTCCCCCCCCCACCTCCCCCGCGCTTCCCCCCCACCTCCCCCGCGCTTCCCCCCCCACCTCCCCCCGCGCTTCCCCCCCCACCTCCCCCGCGCTTCCCCCCTCACCTCCCCCGCACTCCCCCCCTCACCTCCCCCGCTTTCCCCCCCTCACCTCCCCCGCACTCCCCCCTCACCTCCCCCGCACTCCCCCCCTCACCTCCCCCGCGCTTCCCCCCCCACCTCCCCCGCGCTTCCCCCCTCACCTCCCCCGCACTCCCCCCCTCACCTCCCCCGCTTTCCCCCCTCACCTCCCCCGCACTCCCCCCCTCACCTCCCCCGCACTCCCCCCCCCACCTCCCCCGCGCTTCCCTCCCCACCTCCCCCGCGCTTCCCCCCCCACCACCCCCGCGCTTCCCCCCTCACCTCCCCCGCGCTTCCCCCCCCACCTCCCCCGCGCTTCCCTCCCCACCTCCCCCGCGCTTCCCCCCCCACCTCCCCCGCGCTTCCCTCCCCACCTCCGCGTGGAACTCTTGGAACTCGCGCGCGCGGCAGCGCTTGAGGAGCCACGGGGTGGCGCCGTCGCGCGGGTCCACGCCCTTGAACAGCACGCGGTAGCCCTCGCCCACCAGCAACTGCGGTGCCCAGTGGTTCGTCGCGGTTAGCATGTCCGCCAGGGAAAACCGCACACACGCGCCCTGGATGGGGGCGGCTGAGGGGAGGGGAGGGGGGGGGGGGGGTAAGGGGGTGCAAGGCCATTTTGGGTGGAAGAGAGGGAGGAGCGGCGTGGGAGGCAGAGAGGCTTGAGAGCAAGACACACAAAGAGGACGAAAGACAGAAGCCGGGCATACAGATCGCGGATCGAGCAGACAGGATTGCGGGCGACGAGGCGTGTGGAAGGCGGGCGAGTCGCCGGAGACATTCGCGAAGTCGTGAGGCGTCGCGAAACAAGGACGACTTGGCTTGTTAGCGGTGAGCAAGTTGCGAACTTTTGAGTCGACTCAAAATATGATTCGGTAAGGATGGCTTGCCTCTCGCTGCGTCCGCTTGCTTGGCCTTGTCCGACTTGCCAAGCATCTTCCGCATCTTCGTCCACGTCAGTACGCCACCGCTCTGCAAGCCACGTCGGAGTAAGGGCGCACTGATCGTGCCACGTCACACATACGTGACCGAGCTGAGTCTTCACATCCTAAAGTACGGGTACTTTTACGTGTGCGTGTGCGTACTCCGAGCAGGAGTTGTTTTCACTCGCGATGCTCACATACTAGAACTCTGCTGCCAATTTCGCGCGCATGACTTGTGCATCTGCTGGCCATCCGGTTTTAAAGCAGCGGTATACATTTGGCAGGGGGGGTGCCCAAAGTTTATAAAAGGTACATGGTGGATACCAAGTTACAGGCCCACTCAACTTCACTCACGAGCGACGGTTCCCAAGAGTCCCCAACCCTGCCACCAGCCAAGTCCACTCAAGTGTCGAAAGTTTATACATGCCAAAAGTATACTGAAGGTGCTCCATCCTCGACAAGCCGTCACCCACTTTACCCGTTTATAGTCAAGGAAACTAGCTATTCGCACCAATCTGTGCCGTCACGATCAAGCTTGCGGGCTCGCTTAGGTCAAACGCCGTCCATAGCATGGCGTAGGGTTTGCGACGCCTCATAAGACCTCGCTTCGTAGACTCGCCTCAACGCCCGTCGCGGCGTCACCTCTCGGCAAATCCGCTCCCGAAGTCGCCGCGCTGCAAATTCATTCGCCGCGTCGCATCGCCGCAAATCTGCGCGCGGCTTCCCCTCGCCGCAAATCCGCGAAGCGGCGTCGCCTCCCCGCAAATCCGCGAAGCGGCGTCGCCTCGCCGCAAATCCGCGAAGCGGCGTCGCCTCGCCGCAAATCCGCGAAGCGGCGTCGCCTCCCCGCAAATCCGCGAAGCGGCGTCGCCTCGTCGCAAATCCGCCAAGCGGCGTCGCCTCGCCGCTGATCCGCGAAGCGGCGTCGCCTTACATCTCCCCGTTCTCCCCGTCGTGCCTCCCGTTCTCCCATTCCCACCCCCGATCTCCCCTTACAGCTCCCCGTTCTCCTCCGCGTGCCTCCCGTTCAACCATTCCCATTCCCGTTTCCGTCTCTTCCTCGCCTTCCCTCGTTTCCCTCTCTTCTCTCCCTTCCTTCGCTTCCCAATCTTCCCTCCCTTCCCTCGTTTCCCTCTCGTCCCTCCCTTCCTGAGTTTCCCTCTCTTCTCTCCCTTCCCGCGGTTCCCTCTCTTCCCTCCCTTCCCTCGTTCCCTCTCTGCCCTCCCTTCCCTTGTTTCCCTCTCTTCCCTCCCTTCCCTCGTTTCCCTCTCTTCCTCCCCTTCCCTCGTTTCCCTCTCGTCCCTCCCTTCCTGAGTTTCCCTCTCTTCTCTCCCTTCCCGCGGTTCCCTCTCTTCCCTCCCTTCCCTCGTTCCCTCTCTGCCCTCCCTTCCCTTGTTTCCCTCTCTTCCCTCCCTTCCCTCGTTTCCCTCTCTTCCTCCCCTTCCCTCGTTTCCCTCTCTTCCTCGCCTTCCCTCGTTTCCCTCTCTTCTCTCCCTTCCCGCGGTTCCCTCTCTTCCCTCCGTTCCCTCGTTTCCCTCTCTTCCCTCCTTCCCTCGGTTCCCTCTCTTCCCTCCCTCCCCTCGGTTCCCTCACTATCCTCCCTTCCCTCGATTCCCTCTCTTCCTCCCCTTCCCTCGTTTCCCTCTCTTCCTCGCCTTCCCTCGTTTCCCTCTCTTCTCTCCCTTCCCGCGGTTCCCTCTCTTCCCTCCCTTCCCTCGTTTCCCTCTCTTCCCTCCCTTCCCTCGTTTCCCTCTCGTCCCTCCCTTCCTGAGTTTCCCTCTCTTCTCTCCCTTCCCGCGGTTCCCTCTCTTCCCTCCCTTCCCTCGTTCCCTCTCTGCCCTCCCTTCCCTTGTTTCCCTCTCTTCCCTCCCTTCCCTCGTTTCCCTCTCTTCCTCCCCTTCCCTCGTTTCCCTCTCTTCCTCGCCTTCCCTCGTTTCCCTCTCTTCTCTCCCTTCCCGCGGTTCCCTCTCTTCCCTCCCTTCCCTCGTTTCCCTCTCTTCCCTCCCTTCCCTCGTTTCCCTCTCTTCCCTCTGGTTCCCTCCCCTCCCTCCTTTCCCTCCAACCCCTCTCTTCTCCCCCTTCTCCCCATTCCGTCCCTTCTCTCCCTGCTTGCATTCAGAATCTCTCCTTTTCCTCCCTCCCCTCCCGTCTCTCCCTTCCCTCCCTTCTCTCCCTTCCCTCCCTTCTCTCTCTTCCCTCCCTTCCCTCCCTTCCCTCCCTTCCCTCCCTTCCCTCCCAAAACTCCCTTCCCTCCCTTCCCTTCCTTCCCTCTTACCCTCTCTTCCCTCCCTTATCAACCTTCCCTTTCTTCCCTCTCTTTCCTCCCTTCCCTCCCCTCCCTCCCTTCCCCCTCTTCCCTCCCTGCGATCTCTTTCTTCTCTTCTCCCCCCCCCCCCCCCCCCCCCCCCCCCCCCCACCTTCTCCTCCATCCCTCAGCACGGCCCCCATCAGCGCCAAAAAATTAGGGCCGCCCCTTGTCCATCTCCTCCCTTTGGTTCATAATATCCCGCCTCCTCCATCTCCCTTCCCCGCCTCCCCTCCTCCCGTTCCTCTCAGGCACTTTCTGCCCTTCAGTCCCACCTCTTCATCCTCACCCCTCCACTTCGCCTACCCATCTCCTCAAGCCCTCTAACCTTCTGGTCATCCCTGCCTTGTTGTCTCCCCTTCATGCCTAGCGTAGCTGAGGCAGGCGAGGAGTAGCGTGCAACTACAGCTTTGTACGGTGCCTAAGCAGTCTTGTGCTGGCCAAAGTGCTCGCGTTCATCTATCGGCAGGGAGTTGCGAATGGCGAAGCGAGAGTGGGCGTCACGAGTCTGCCACTGTGAGCGGGCAGTACTGTCAGCAGTCGCAGCAGGGGCAGGAGCGAGTCCTAACGCATGATCATAAAGTGAGATATCCTCCTTAGCAGTGAGCTGGAGGAACAGGTGGAGGTCATCTAGCCAGGTGTCAAAACGCAGCTAGCGGCCCTCAGCATCGAAAGCTAGAACCGAAGGACTAGCCATAGTTTCAGTAGGAGCAGTAGGAACAGCAGTAACAGCTGCAGCAGTAGTAGCAGTGAAACAGCACAGCGCGGCTCGAGCAGGGCAGCGCGGCGCGGCTCGGGCAGGGCGGCGCGGCGCGGCTCGGGCAGGGCGGCGCGGCGGCTTGCTCGTGCGGCTGCGCGTGTGGCTGCGCGTGCGGTCGTGCGTGCGGCCTAGCGGGCGGCCGTGCGTGCGGTCGTGCGTGCGGCCGTGCGGGCGGCCGTGCGGGCGGCTGCGCGTGCGGCTGCGTGGGCGGCTGCGCGTGCGGTCGTGCGTGCAGCTGCGCGTGTGGCCTTTCGTGCGGCTGCGCGTGCGGCGGATTGAGCGGCTGCGCGTGCGACTGACGGGCGGCGCGTGCGGCTGTCCTAGGGGCGCATGACGGCGCTAGGAAGAGGGGCGCTCGACGGCGCTAGGAGGAGGGGCGCACGACGGCGCTAATAGGAGGGGGGCGCTCGACGGCGCTAGTAGGAGAGGCGCACAAGGGCGCGGCAGAACGGTGGGCCCTAACCAACGTCGGTCCTATGTCCTAACCTAGGCGTCGGATACCATGTTAGAATGACTAAGGACAGCTAGGCTTAGGAGCCATAGCTTTAGTGGTGAAGAACTTAGGTTTTAGGGTTGAAGGAGGTGTCGAGAGAGTTGAAGCAGGAAGAAATGGCTTCACTAAGAAAGATGAGTACAAAATATAGCAAGGAGAAGCATGGTGCACCACCTACAGCAAATTGGGATGTGCTACACTCTACACTGCAGACAATTATAAAGAACATATATAAATATAGTTCAACACCTCCACCTCCGCTGCCACTGCCTCCACCACCGCTGCTGCTGCCACCACCACCTCCACCGCCGCCACCGACGCCCCCACTCCCGCCACCACCCTTGCCCCCACCCCCACCCCCTCCGCCTCCTCCACCGCCACCACCGCCGCCCCCACCGTCCCCTCCACCACCCTTGCCCCCCTTGCCCTTGCCGTAGCGGCGCCTCCCACTAGGAGCAGACGCAGCCCTGACCTCCTAGGGCCGGCGCTCGACGGGCGGGCAGGGCAGGGCCGCGACAGCAGGTCGGGCAGGGCCGCGACTGGCGGGTCGGGCAGGTCCGCGACGGGCGGGGTAGGCAGGGCCGCGACGGGCGTGTAGGGTAGGGCCGCGACGGGCAGCAGGGCAGGGCAGGCGCGCGACGGCGGCTGCAGGTAGGGCAGGCACGCGACGGTGCGGGTAGGGCGGGCGCGTGAGCGCGCGCGTAGGGCAGGGCCGCGACGGGCGCGGCTAGGTCAGGGCCGCGACGGGCCGTTAGGGCAGTGCCGCTAAAGGTGGCAGTAGAGCAGGGCGCGCGACGGCGTAGGTGAGGCAGGCGCGACAGCGCGCTTCGGGCAGGGTAGGAAAATTTTTGTGGTGGGCCCTAAAAAAAATCGTTCCCACTAGGGAACCTGCTCAGAAACCATGTGAAAGCAAAAACGAGGAATGATGGAATTAGCAAGCAGGTGGGTACAAGTAGGAAAACCTAGAAGTGTTGTACCCTATATTGACTACCCCACTACAGCCTACACGGACTGTAGCATATAAGTTTGACACACTTGCCTCCCGCCGACCACTTACAGCACGCTGCTCGACGATGCACAGTGCGACGCCTTCTAGCCCGAGTTTGACCCCGACGTGCACACCGATCCGTAGCACCGCTGGGACATCGCGACGATGAAGGTGAAAGAGGCATTAGCGAGCTGGAAAGGAAAAGCGGTGAAAGCGGCAATGGACGAGGAGATTCGAAGTCTCATCTCCAACGGCACATGAGAGCTTATTGAGTGCCCGCGCGGCGTCAATTTCATGAAGAACCGGTTTTGATGACGAAGTACCACGTCGACGAGACAGTGACAGTGACAGTGAGGAGAGTAGAGGTAGCCACCAAGTTCTTAGCGAACGAGGGGAGGTGTAGACCTGTGAGGAGGTCGGAAGGGGCCGCCGGACAAGGGAGAACAGTGGTGCCACGCGCAACTACAGGGCCCCCGGAGGGGTCGGCCAGTGTGAACAGGGACAGGGGCTGTGAGTGGTGTGACTGTGGTGCTATCGCAAAAATAGCAACGAGACGCGCCTGAATCGAGAGTAAAAGTGTGCAAGGCCTCTTCAGGCTCTGCACCTGTGCTAGCTGAGTCAAAAGCACCAAGACTAGCAGCCTCTACCCTAGCAACGCTAGGCACACACGAGTAACAGTCATCTTCAACACTAGTAGAAGCAGCATACATCACATACATGCCAGCATGGATCACAGCCCAGTCACAAGCAAAAACATCTATGTCCTTCTTCAGCAAGGTGAACCAGGCTGGATTCGTCATGTGCTCGCCATGCTCTGCATGATACAAATCGTCGAGGTGAAAGAAGCAACGAGACTCGGTATGGTCGGTGCGAGTGCAGGTCGCCCCAGGCTGACCTGTGCGACGGACGTACCCGCAATGAGCGGGGCCACCTAAGCTGCTGCTTCAGATCGCCCTCTCACGAAGCTGCTGCGGCGAGAGCTGCACCTGGCGGCTCGGCTGCTGCTGCTGACCACCCCCAGAGCCACCTCCACCACCCGCTGCACCACCAGATGCCGCTGAACGAGTGGCTGGACCTCCAGCACCTCCTCCGCCAGCTCCACTCCGAGTGCCACCCCCACCTCCTCCACCACCCCCACTGCTCCCACCACCTCCTCCTCCTCCTCCTCGGCCGCCCCCACCTCCTCCTCCTCCACCACCACCTCCACCGCCACCACCGCTGCCCCCGCCAACTCCACCACCCCCACCACCCCCACCCTTGCCACCCTTGTCCTTGCCGCTGCAGCGCCTCCCGCTAGGAGTAGACGCAACACCGACCTCCTCAGCACCAAGGAAGTCCACAGCAGCAGCAGAGGCAACAAACGGCGCGAGTAGGGAGGGGAAGGACCCCTCAAACACGGAGGGCAGGGGAGTGCCACGAGAGGCAGTGACAGCTAGGGCAGCAGACTCTAAGAGATGGGACTCAAACGAGGCGAGGGTGATTGTCGTGGGGTCGAAAGCGAGAAAGTGGTCGCGTACAGCACGAAGGGAGTCAGGGAGGCGGGTCGTGAGAAAGTAAAGGGTGAGATAAATGGGTGGCTTGTTCTCAGCCCTAAAGGCAGGCTCGAGGGCGGCAGCGTAACGGGTCTCAAGGGAGTGGAGGTGAGTCATGAGGTCAGCGACAGTAGTGAAGTCAGACAACTCAGGAAAGAGGAACGGCAGCGCCAGGTGGCCTACAGTGGCAGACTACAGCGTCGTAAAGCGCCTTGGCAGTTTTAAGCATAGTGTTGGACTATAGTGTCGTAAGAATAGTGCTGGACTACAGCGTCGTAAGAGTAGTGCTGGACTACAGTGTCGTAAAGCGCCTTGGCAGTTTTAAGCTGGCGAAAGTGGGTGCGCTGGTCTAGTGGAAGGTGATTACTGACAGCAAAAGTGGCAATAGCGTCACGAGAAGTCTACTTGGACCGGTCTACCCGAGGAGGCATGTCAGCAGGGGAAGCGAGGGACCCCGAGGTATGCTAAAAAAATGAGACATCCTCCCTAGTAACACTTTGCAGGTACCCATGGAGTTCATTTAGCCAGGATTCAAAGTCTACCGGGTGGCCTTCTCCGTCAAAGGTGAGCACCCTAGGGGTCGCCATACCAGATAACGGTAGTGGCAGTAGCAGCAACAGTAGTAGGAGTAGCAGCAGGAAGGGGCAGCTCAGTAGGGCGGCTCGGTTGGGCGGCTCGGCAGGGCGGCTCAAACGGGCGGCTCGATTGGGCGGCTTTGCGGCTCACAGGCAGCAGCAGCAGGCGCGCTAGCCTGCGGTGCAAGCAGCAGCAGCAGGCGCGCAAACAGGGCAGGGCAGGGTGCGAGCTGGCGGTGCACCAATGCAGCAGGGGCAGGGCAGTGGTGTGAGCGGGCGCTGCAGGGCAATGCGCGGGCAGCTCAGGCAGGGCGCACGCAGGCAGCGCGAGCAATGCAGCGTGCAGGGCAGCAGGCGGCGGGCCAGCAGCGAGCAGGCAGCGCGGGCGGCACAAGGCAGCGCGGGCAACGAGCGGGCAGCGTGCGGGCCGCGCGAGCAGCGGGCGAGCGGCGTGCGGGCAGCGCGGGCAACGTGCGGGCAGCGTGCAGGCAACGCGGGCAGCATGCGGGCAACCCGGGCAGCGCGCGGGCAGCGTGCAGGCAGCGCACGGGCAGCGTGGGCAGCAGGTGGGCACTAGGCAATGCGACAGCGCGCTGCTTTGGGCAGGCAGCACTGTAACGCACTGGGCAGGGCAGGACAGCAGCGCAATTGTGTGCTGGGCAGGGCAGAAACGAACGGCCGGGCAAGGGAAAATCTTTTGCCGGGCTGAGGGAAACGAATGTGGTGGGCCCAAAAAAAAAAAATCTAGGTTCTAACTAGGACCTACTCTGAAACCACGTTAAGACTAGGAATGATGATTGGATTGGGTCATG